TTGCTTTAATAAAATGAAGTGACAAATATAATCTCTTCAGCATGTGAAAAATAAACAACATTGATGAATCTAATTTTGGTGTTTGTGTAGAATTCATTATGGACATTGGAGCTTCTACAGGTGTAATACTTGATCCTACCTACACTGGTAAAGCTGTCCGTGGTCTGGTCTCAGAGCTACAGAATAATCCTCAGAGATTCAGGGGAAAACAAGTTCTGTTCATCCACACAGGTATGCATTTTTTTTTTTTACACATTTCTTATGCACTGTTATTTGTTTTAAGTATCAAGCCTCCCTTCCCCCTGGATAGTTGTACAGTTGTACCAGGTATGGGAATTATGTGTTCCCCTCAGAAATATATTTTCTCTGTAAGTGTGACATAAAACTTATAATGACAATGTGTGTATAAAGTTTGATCATGCCCTAAGCTATAGCTAATTTCTGATATGATCCTTAATGTACATGTACATACATTTGCAGTACAAGGTCTTCTGGACCTTCTAATTATAGTACTACACAAACTCTGTGACTCTGAGAATTAAATTTCAACATGTTTTCTCTGATTCCTAATTGTGACCATTTGAATTTTTACACATGTTAATTGAGTTCTTGTTGTGAAATTCTAATCAAATTTGCAATACTTGAATATACTGAAGTATACATCTATTTCAGTTTTCTAATTTAAAGACTTTATCAAAAGTTTGAATTTAGCATAAATACAACTCTACTGATTGAGACTTGTACTTAAAAATTAGCAAATTTTTAAATCTCTGTAAAGTATAATTAATAATAAGATTATATAGTCTGATTTATGTTTGTGCTCTCTAATGCAAATAGTTTACATTTCAAGAAAAAATAAATTGTAAAATATTTTTCATATAAAAATATTTTATTTAAGTGTATAAATTGCTTTTAAGCATATTAATCACAAAAGTAAATAAATTTAAAATAATGTATTTGTATAGTTAAGATATTTTACACCTTAAAAACTAAATGTAATGTAAAAATATTTATACCTGGTCAATTTTATTTCAGGAGGAACCTTTGGACTCTTTGATGGTCGTATGAATCAACTTTTAAAACAAAGAAACACACCCAATAGCAGTCATATTCACATTTGGAATGAAAAGGGTGACTCTATAAACCCTAACTGAATCGATATTTTAAACAATATTTAGATTTGTTTTATAAATGTTTTAAAATCATTAACTAGTATATAGATATAGAGAGTAAACTAGAAATCAAAGAAATGCAAAAATATAAACATGATTCATAAAATTGGTGAATTAGATGTGAAGAATGCTTATACAGCTTCATGTGAATAAAAATCATACATATAGAGCATAGTTGTCATTACATGTATTTATTCACATTTAAAATGAAGACACACATATGGTGGCTGTTTCTGCCCCTTCATGCAAGATTTATTTTAACATGTAAGAAAATTATGTCAACATGCAAGATTATGTCTACATGCAAGACAATTATGTTGACATGCAAGTTACACATTTTGTATGTTAATCTGATTTTAATATGGTTAAAATCACACATGTGAGCCTGTATCTACGAAAATCAATACAATATTTCAGTCGATAAAACTTATAGCAATAAAATCTATTGAACAAATCTTAATACAAATGAAAATATGTGTATAAATAAGGAGGTATAATACTTTATATGTTGATAAGTTGAAAAATTATAAGTCTTAGACAATATACAAAGTTATCACACAACAAGTGTAGAGCCATTTACGCTTCCGTAGATATGCCACAAACTCTTTGAATGTCACACAAAAAGAACTGCAACAATATTGAAAGAAAAAAAATATGATTTAAAGAAATGCATGTTCATGTAAATGATTTGAGTTTATTTTTCATCGCGGGGGGGGGGGGGGGGGGGGGTTCAGAGGAATTTGCTTTGTACATTTCTTTCATTTGATTTGATATTTTTTTTTTAAGGATCTTTCTCTTTTAACAATTAATAAAACATATTTTGAGTGTTTTTAAAGCAATACGTAATACAACGCATTTCAAGTAAGTTCGTATGTGTTAAAAATTAACCCTGAATAAAATCAATTTTAATGCTGTGTTCAAACGTTCAAACCCAAAATTCACTGATTCTGTTGAGAAAAGCCGATTTGAAATGAAATCCAGTTCGGATTGGACATTTTAAAAATCTTAACAAGGAAATTATTTATGGAATATGAGAAATTTTATCTGTTTGCATAACTATCACGTCACTAAATTCTATTACATGTACTGAACAATATTTATCATTTCACCTGTTGAAAAGCATTCTTCCAAAAGAAATCGCTCTATTGGGTATGAATTAAAATTAGTATCAGTTTTTGCAAAAACTTATGACATAATAGGAGAATGGATATACCATAATTTAGTATACGTGGTATATTGAGTTGAGGCTAATGGAGATGACTAAATTTCCCTCCCACACAACCCAATATGTTACATATGTATGTGACACGTTTATTACATTCTGCATTTCGTTTATTTACTAATTTATACCAAGTACTCATCCATGCAAGTGTTTACAGAATATTGGAGATACATTTAGTGCCGAGGTGTTGTCGACGACAAATAAAGACCCCCAGACATTATTCCAGGGGGGCCATTAATTGTCTTGACACCGGTAGTAGAGGCGTGTTGCAAAAAATGCGAGTGTTTGGAATGGCAGGTGGTTGAACCGGAGTGTAAAGAGTCGAGTTTTTCGATTCTGGCCTCAAATAGCTCTAATTTGTCTTTGTCAGTCAGTCGTCCATAATACTTTTCTATTTGTTTGCAGGAAGACAGGGTAAATGGCACTAAACATGCAAGAGTTCTTTTACGAAGATTTGGCAGGTCGTATTCACCACTGTAATAATAGAATTTGAGTAGAAATTCCAAATCACAGATCATAGTCCTTTTTTTTGCTTTTTTGAGGTCAATCTCTTTAAGCAGCCATGCTTCACAGGTTTTGATCATAGAAATGACTTGGTATTCATTTGCCAATGGAAGTATATCTTCGATCACATCATCTATAAGTATTAAAAATACAGAATAAATAAATATAATTCTATGACATTCACCGTGAAAAATCTGACAGGAATATTTATTAACATACTTAGTAATGTATTACCATAAAACTAACATGAGTGGACGTAAGACTGACTAAGCGTTTAACATAAGTCTTAATACTTTACATATATAATTTTGAAATTATGCGTGTTTTGCATATTTTAATTTTAATATTAATTTTAAAATTAAAATTATACTTCAGTAAAATTACAATTTATTGAAGGTGTTGAAAAAAGCTTAAAGGTCCAATTAACAATACAAACACAAACGCTACAAATAAGGAGCAACTGAGCAAACAAAAATCTCAAAATTATCAGAGGTGGGATCAGATCCAATGGAGGAGCGAGCATCCCCTGTCGACCTTTCTCATGATCCTTGTCATTAATTAAGGAATAACTGTCTTATTTTTCGAATTCATGAAGTGATCAATGGATTGGCTTGTGTGATAATTTGCATAAACGCCGAAGGCGTTTATGCATAAAATTATCACACAAGCCAATCCATTGATCATCTTCATGAATTTGAAAAATCTGACAGTTATTCCTTATATTTACATGCTTTGATTCCGCCAATCCACGGGCGCCAAGCCTGCTTCTCTCTAGGTGTTGTCCCGCCCTGCACGTGGTTTTTTTTTTGGAACCGCGCCAAAACATTCATGAGGAAATCAATTACATTTACAATTGGTAATTTTATCTCGGACAAAGACATTGGAAATGTAAATATTGGAAAATAATGGAAAAACCCATTAATAATTCCGTGTGTAAATAATGACCAAACAATTCTTTGAAAAACGTCAGTCAGCATTTGACTCAATGATAATTGTATTTGCAGACAAGGTTATTGTATCGACCATAGAACCTTAAAACGAAATGGTGAGCTTAAGAGATACTGGTGATATTTTTTTTTGTCACCAACTTGTTTGTTAATAACTTTCTTCGATTTAGAAATTGTTCATGAGTAGAGCAAGCTCGATCTTGCCTATCTTATCAACTGAGAGATGCAAACCGCGTATGCAGGTGAAAAATGTATATTACATAAGATATAATTACAAAGAGAACATTTGAACTTGTAACAAAAATAAATTCTACAATTTTGAGTGCTTTTTTTTTTTTATTTCAGAACGCAATTAGAACTAGGATTGCATGTATAATACAATGCATGTACATGATGTGTCTTGATTTCTTTGTTAAATATATAAATCATAATTCCAAAGTATCAAAACCCGATGTTTATAAATAGGATAATTGGAAATGAAACATAAAAGTGTTAAGATAAAAAAAATAAAACAATATAAAATACGGCAAACAGAGCAAACACGGAGCTCCAAAACATCGATTGGATCAGGTGCCATTGAGGAGTTAGCATCCCCTGCCGACCGGTCAGCCTTCAATGATAAATTGTATTTACTGACAAGGTCATTGTATCGACCATAGAACTTACGAAATGGTGACTTTAAATGAGTCTGCTGATACTCGCGTTTCATCAACTTGTTTGTCAATAATTTAACTCGTTTTAGATAGTGTTCATACGTAGAGCATGCTTTTGCGTATCGAATCGACTGAGATATATGAACTCCGTATGCAGGTGATGAAGCTGTGTTGTTGCATAACTAAAGGAAGTTGACAATAGAAAAGTTAAAGTCATCAGGTTTATCATAGAGCTTGCTATGCTGTTATATTACCATTTATGTCTTTTCAGATATCCAAATAGGAAACATATGTGTCAGACTCTATGGTATCTTATATCTCAAGCTCACCAGGATATCGTATCGACATAGGAATGGAAATAACCATTATTAATTGACAATACGTCGTCGATATATCTAAATGTCGATTTGAGAGCTACTGCAAGTGTTTTAGATTCTTTTCACGCATAAGATTTTGAATAAATTCTGATTCATATGAATACAAAAAAAGGTCTGATAACGGGGCGCAAGTAGTACCCATGTGAAATCCAGTAGACTGGAAGAGCTGGTCTCCAAAAACAACATAGATATTGTCGATCAGAAACTCATGCATGTTTTTGATGTCAACTTCGGAGTACTTGTGTGTATAATCAGAATTTTTTTAAACAAAATAATCTTGCATATGACCAATTTCAAGGTAAGTTATTTTACGAGTAAATTCCATTTTTATTGACAAAACAGCTGTCAATGATATCAAAAAGCCTGGTTGTGTACAAAGTTGTAAAGTCTTCAGTTTTTAATCTGTTGATTTTTGTAAAATCTTCAGATTTTTAATTGTCCAAAAGTTCCTTGGAATTTTTATGTGTCCACGTCTGATTTACACCACTTCTTGAATATATTGTTGCACAGCATTCTTGAAGTTTCTCTGCACTACTGTTAATATCTTAGTGAGGAGTAAAGAAAGAGACTCGGTTGAACACTTAATTACTGGTACTATGTATATGATTTTGAAGCATTTTTCCTCAGAAAAAAATTCTTCTTTAAAAATAAACCAATTTCAATTTCGAAATATATACGAGTACAATATCGACGCAAACCATGTAGATACGTTCAAAATTTAAATATTTTTCAAAGGACGTGTCGCAAGTGTGGCCAGTGGTTAGAGCGTCAACTCTAGAGTCCACACCCTATTACCGGCAACTGTGACAACCGATGCAACTGTGACAACAGACGGCAAAGTTATCAATCAATATGACAGAGACTTAATTGATATCATAATTTTGACTATTTATAACATTCATTTACTTTCGTTTCATGGATTCCCGTTTTGATCTTACCTTAAATTATTTTTCTGTTAAATATAAAACCATAATTCCTTATTGAAAAAAAAATAAGAACAAAATAAACCTAAATTTCAATCGTTGTTTAGGAAAAACTTGTCAAATTGAGCTAATATAATAAAAACTGCTATTCTACGGTCATATTTCTTGTTATATGTAATAAATCTAGACTCTTTACGACATTACTTCAAAATATGGATAATTTAAGTTGTTTAATAAAAGCGCCGCAAGCGTTTAATTTTGTTTGGTGAAATCATTTTGGCTATCGTGTACAACAGACGAGGCAAACAATGACAGCAGATTTAAAACGAAATACGGCAATCGGAAACAGTGGATACAAAGTTGGATAAAGTATGAATTTAGCTGTATCCTGATACTAGTAAGCTTCAAATTTCGCCAAGACATATTTTGACTGTTAATATTGGTCATATGTATGATACTTGCTAACACAGGAATTTATGGACACGCACCCCCCCCCTCCCCCACGAGATAAAAAAAAAACATCGTAAAGATCTCATTTTTTAATTTTCCTATTATACACATGATGAATAAGTGTAATAAATATCATTTGTGGAAAAAGCCCGGGGGATTCATATCGGACGGGGGGTTATTCCTGTCCACAAGTACCTGTGGTTGCCGACAGCTACTGAATCTAACTATTATTCGATAAGTACATGAAAATGTTTCAATAAGACGGATTAATGTTCGTAAAGAAGATGGGGGGGGGGGGATTAAGGCGGGCGAAATGCCTATAGTGCGACAGATAAGAAGTGAAAATTCAAATCTCAATTATATCAGAGTTTTATTTGATATTTTATCTAATAATGAAGTTTATTGTAAATCTCTACAATTTACAAAAATCTCACACAGACTGAAAATATTTGCCTATGAAAAAGCATACACACAAAAAGGATCATTTTCTCATATTTAAACATTTTTTTTTCAATATGAGTGGGTCTTCGTTCCATTTTTTTTTAAAAAGATGATCCTAAAAACATGGAGCGAAGACCCACTATACCTTAAAAGTACACTTTTATGACAAAACATTCGCATCTTTCAGAGAAATACTTTAAGTCCATTAGTCAAGGGTAACCGGTGTATCACAAACATGATTTAAATGCCAAAAATCATCATGAACCATATAGCATAGTGGGTAAGGTGTTATTCTTAATCTCAAAGCAGTATGATTTCTCGGACTTTTATTGCTAGGGTTCGAGTCTCACTAAAACCATGTAGTATTTTTATAAAAGAAAAATTTTTTACAAGATATTTTTTTCTCAGAAAAGGTATTTTTTAAATAATTTCATAAAATTCAATAATAAGAAGTTGATCCAAATACTCAATTCACATACTGAATATGATTTCTTAATATTTGTCGCTATAGGCAGTATGCCCGCCTTGTTCCCCCATCTTCTTTTGTTTTCCAACGATAAGGAACACAAAACGGATAATTGGAACTGTTAAATATCAAGGACAGCAGTAAATTACTTAAAAGTAAAGTATTTAAAAAGAATATAATACATACGTATAATCATTTTTTATGTACAAATTTTATGTAGTTATAAACTTGGGTTTTCATAATTGCTGATTTGGGCATTCCTCATGAAGCTGTTATGTTTGTTGCAGACTTCAGCGACAAAATTGTACACAGGAAGAGTTTTATTGCACATTATTGTCGCTAGCTGCGATGTTGCAGCCGACATTACAACTATTGCTATATTATCTTGCAAGAAATCAAAATGTTTGCTGGAACATTGCAAGAAACATACATGCCTCTATATACAGCAGCAACATGTTCGTTGGAAACACTAAATTTGACAAACCGAGGGTTTGCAGGAAGAAACAAGTCAAACCAGCCAACGAAATGTAGACTGTACCTAGGTCAACAAAGAATTCGCCATTTTGAAATATTTGAATTGAAGTTGTAGATACTTGATTCTCGGTATTTTGGTAGGAATATACAGTATTCATCATTTTAAATGATTACAAAAGCGCTTAATTAGGTACATGTACATGTATATACAATGTCGCACACAACGCTTGGCTGATAAGATGTGGTTTTGTTTTAATTTTATTATAAAAGTAATGACTATAACTTTTCAATCGTCAACTTCCCTTACTTGTGCAGGAAAATACCTTCATCACATACATACAGCCTGAGGGTGTACTCTCTTTGATTCGATACGCACTACGTAGGATTTTCTAAAATTTCTAAAATTAGGTAAATAATTGACAAACAAATTGACTAAACAAGAATATCAACAGTCTTGTTTTTAAGTCATCATTTCTTTTTTTTCTATAGAATGTCCATGTCAGCAAAAAAAATTTTCATTGATTCAAATGCTGATTGACTTTCACCCCATATATTTATTAGGCCATCATTTGCACACATTGAATTGTCGAATGATTTTTTTTTCGATCGTGACATGGATCAAACGGCGGTTGTTGGTTGGCAGGTGATGATCACTCCTCCATGCATGGGACGGGTCGTGCCCACTTCTGATGTTTTAGAATTTCCCGTTTTTCTGCTCCATTTTATATTGTTTAATGGAGTTTTGAGCTTGAATACTGAACGTTACTACATGTAGTATCTTCATATCCTTCTTTGAAAAATCTTATATTGGTAGCAGGTTAAATCCAGCGGTAAACCTCTTTTGCATGGGAAACTGATTGCTGTAAGCTTTTCAATACTAGTGACAGACTTGCGGCAAACACAAAGGTTTTTACAGTTTGTTATGGTTTCTTTGGCTTCGTTGCAGCAAAGGATCCTTTGCAGCAATATTTGTAGCAAGTTTAATTTGCAGCAATGTATGCTGAAGACTTTCAGCAAATGTTTGCAGAGTGATTATATTTCTTTCTTAGACAATCATCTTCTGAAATAATAAATTATATAATGCAGAGATATCTGACATTTTTGTCAGTGAACTTGATAAGAAAAAAACCGTTTAAAAAGTTGAAATCCAGATTAAAATAAAGATGTTACCGATTGCCATTATCTGTCGTCAGTGTTTGCCACAATAAACGAACATCTGTTGTTCATGATAGCCAAAATATCTTGATCCATCAAAATCAAACGCTTGCAGCACACTTGTTAAACAACAAAGACCATCCACATTATAAAGTTATGGTGTAGAGAGTCTAAATTAATTATATACAACAAAAAATATGACCGCAGAGTAGCAGTTTTTATTTAATAAGCTGAGTTTGACCAATTTTTTTAAAATAACGATTAAAATTCAACTTTATTTTGTTCTTATTTTGTTTCAATAAGGAATTATGGTTTTATATTTTACAGAAAAATAATTGAAGGTAAAATCAAAACGGGAATCCATGAAACGAAAGTAAATGAATGTTATAAATAGTCAAAATTATGATATCAATTAAGTCTTTGTCATATTGATTGATAACTTTGCCGTCTGTTGTCACTGTTGCATCGGTTGTCACAGTTGCCGGTAGTAGGGTGTGGAGTCGTGGGGTAAGGACTTAATTACGTCGGGGACACGAATCCCACTGCTGGACGTGGAGGCCGGTCCTTCGGATGAGACTGTATAAACCGAGGTCCCGTGTCGCAGTAGGTGTTTGTAGCGTCTCAATTGAATATGAGTGAAAAATTCTCAAACGATACACGATATTTAATTTTTACCAAACAAAGAATCAAAGGACGTCTGCATCCTTAATTTTGGTAAGGCTAGCTATATTGGTTTGGGTTCCTGTTTCTTTTTTGCAAGTGTGGTCTTTGATTCGCTTCTTTCACATGTATTAAATTGAGTAAATCTAGTTTTTAAAAAGAAAATGTATGGACACTTACATGTCCGGTAGTTTGAATAGTTATCCGACCACAGAAAACAATTCGCTGTTCCAATAGTGAATAGAAAATAATATTTTAACTAGGAAGTCTGCTATTGCAAGCAATAGCGTATTTCGTCCCGAACTGGACAAGACTTTAATTTTTTTTCATCAGTAATACAATACCCATTAGCTAAGCTTGGACAACCATCAACTCTTATCAGTCCTTTCGGTACTTTGATTTAAAAATCAGAGCTAAGCGCACGTGCACGCACGTACATGCATATGCATGATGACCATACCTTCTTGTAGGAATCCATTATGTCTATCTATGTTATAAATCCCATCCTGTTTGGTTGAAAACCAAAGGAGTTATTGCCATTTAAAGTTTTAGTCAATCAGATTGCAGTGCACGTGAATGCACGTGTTTTCATGATTATTGTTATATATCATATTATAAGATATCCTCATGCATGACTTTATTTAAAATTTCAAAGTATATCGTCAAAAAACAAAAAAAAGATATTAAGATTTTCGTTTCAGACTATCAGAGCAAAGCGCACGTGCATGCACGTGAGTTCACGGTAATTTGACAGTGTCATATTATCAACACTATTAATAAATCCTTATATAATATACTTCTATAATGAGTTTCAAAGCATTCCATCAAAAAGTGTCAAAGTTATAGCTACATTAAGTATATATATAAGTCATTTCACATGTTGCAAGCGCCCGCACGTGCATGCGTATGCGTGCAAAATGACCTTCGTTCCGTTCATCTACACAACATGCCTAATAACCCTATAAAGGTTTAAGCTCAATTGGATGGGCATTTTTCTAGAAGCTTGGACAACCATCAACTCGTATCAGTGCTTCCAGCACTTTAATTAAAAATCAAAGTTAAAGAATATCCACTTTTCCCCTGTTTTCATGGATATACTATTGACAATTTCCAATTTTTAAATCCATTGAGCACAATTACAGATACTAATCATTACATCAATAAAATTTCATGACGAATGTTCAAGGGACCAGAGAGAAAATTCGCGGACAAAATTCGTCGCTTTTTGCAGGTTTCCATGGCAACGGTAGCCATTTTAAAACTGAATGACCACACAACTACAACCAGTGATCCTCCTTTGAGGAAAGTTTCAGAAATATTGTCCCAGCCATCTCCGAGAAACAGCTTGTACAACAAAAGCATGCATACAATATGCAATATGTCGCCCCCTTCTTCGTTCGAAACGACATAATTCTGAAATTCGATATCAGAGATTCATATTCTGATATGAATTCATCGATATATGACATTCGAATTCCTCGATAGAATTCCTCAAGGTAAAACTTACCTTTTAAATCCAAGTATTCATTTGGGGATAAACACATTAGGAAGTTCTTGAATGGTTCGTACTTTTTCCCAGGTAATTCAATTTCAGTTGCATTTTTTTCTTTAAAATCCGAGAAAAACAGGGACTTGAAAACCGGAGACGCTAAAGCCAGAACCGATTTAACGGTGTACAGCTTTTTTCCCTCTACAACAAAGGCAATATCCGTTACTCCTGGTTCCTCGGGAAATTGATCAGTGGCTTCAGTATGAGTAGTCCTGGGTTCGGCTGTTAAGTTTTCCATTTTGCGCATACAATGCAAAGGGGCTTTGAAAAAATTGGTAATTTGATTCAAGTCGTGATAGTGCGACTGCACATCTGTTTATATTGTCTTATCAGTCAATTGTGCATAGTGTCAAATGTCCTTAATGTTGCATGAGTTTATGATAGCATTGTAACGTGTGTTAAACCCTATTGAACTATTGATAAATTTATGTTGTGTCTCCAACCGATCCACGAACCACGCATGTCCGCCACTTATCATGTATTTTTCCATAACCATAGTTTTGTTATTATACCCCCGGCTTGAAAAGCGGCAGGGTATATAGTAATCGTTAATTCCGTCCGTCTGTCTGTACGTCCGTCCGTCCTTCCGTCCGTCTGTTACGCTTTGGGGTACCCATCTCTTATCCGCAACAAAATATGTGTCGGATCAAAAAATAAAATAGAAGGTGCACAATGGCAATATGTAATAAAGATTCTGTGAAAGTTTCATTAAATTTTCTTCAGTGGTATGAGGGGAGTTGCGGATAATAGATGGGTACCCAAAGCGTAACAGACGGACGTACAGACAGACGGACGGACGGAAATACCGATTACTATATACCCTCCCGCTTTTCAAGCGGGGTGTATAATAATTTTACCATTTCATGAAGAATCCACTTTATTAATTCTTATTTGATTTTGCAAGTGTTAATTTTTATTTTACCGCTTTGTGCGAAAAATGCTAGTTATCGGAGAATAGTTATGGAAATAAGTGATATAGAGATGGAATGAGGTGCTAACGAAGAATAGTAAGCACCCTTGTTGACAGGTCACATACGCCGTGAGTCTTGTTTCAAGCTTTTGGCGGGAACATGTCAAAGTTGAATTCAATTTTTTAAAAAAGGCCTTACAATATATTTAAGACAAGTCAGTCATTACATGACCAGCAGTAGGTTATATTTGCTAATAAGATCATCTTGACAACTATAAAGTTTACGAAATGCTTTCTTTAAACAGAACTGTTGGAAATTCCTGTAACATCAACTCATACGTGGGTAGCTTTCTTCGGTTTAAAAATTGATCGGACTCAGAGAATGCTCTTAAGTATCGAATAAGTTGGAAGATTCAAACACCATATGCAGGTGATAGCAAAGTACATGTACTACAAAATTACAGAAGTTGACGATGGAAAAGCTGAAATCATCTCGTTTTTCATACAATTTAATTGTAAGTTGTCCTTTGTTGTATATCATTGGTAAAACATCCCAGTAAGAACTGATGTGGCCGACGCTGTGTTGTCTTTTGTTTCAAGTTCACAAGGATGTATGGAGTCGGCAAGAGAATGAAAAAAAAACTATCTTTAATTGATAAAACGTCGTTAATAATTATGATTACAGTGGATGTTTGGATTAAAGAACGATCAAAAGATGATGATTTAACATAATTATGATCATCGTTTTCAAACTGAACATGCAACATAAATTCATGTATTAGTAAAAAAAAAATATGTAGAAGTCTAGTGACACTAAACGAAACACGAGAAACAAAAATCTGTAGATGCCTTAATTCTTTGAAAATAATTCGATTTAATTGCTGAAAATTAAATCGCGTTATTAGAGAGGCCCATATTCGGGTTATCGGGTCATTAGTATTTCCCCGTTCTTTCAACTTTTGGTATTTTAGTCGAATCCTTAGGACTTCCTTTTCCGTTAGAGAATGAAGGGGAGCAGACATATCCTGCATCTCAAGATAAAAATTTGTTTATTTATTTTATATTGTGTTAAAAAATTCATGTTATGCATGAAATTTAAGGAGAATGTTTCTAGCAATCTTTATTTTCGTGTGTATTTGCATCATTACGTACATGACTTTTCGGATGTTTTTCGATTTTGAAAAAACCACATGCGTAATATAAAACAGAAAAGTCGTAACGCTTAGTCAATATCTGAGCAAAATATAATTATAATGAATTTATTTACAAAAATTGTCGAAGTCTTAACGCTGAGACAATATTTAAAATAATAATAATAACTTTATTTAGTATTAGGCCTATTTCTATATTGTATTTCTTATTCCAAAGTCGGTAGTTTCAGAAAATGCCTAGAGTTAAACCCGCTGCCAAGCCGGCGAAGCGGAAATCAGCACCTACGAGCGGGCCTAAACCAAAAAGTGGGATTAGTCGAATCTACAGAAGTTTCGTCAGAGGAAAACATACCCTGTACAGACATTATTGTTACCATGGTTACGACAAGTGTGGTTACTTTTTCCACTAGTTCCAGCACTGAATCTGATTTCAATGTAAGACAGCCAATCATGTTGATACAACAGGTAATGAGATCGATGGTCAAAAGGGTTGTTACTAATTGCTTTAACTTAAAGTCAGCTAGGGATAATGAGATTGGAATTCTGAAAAAAGTTTTTAAAAATTATGCTGGAAGAGTTACTGGCCCATTCCATTCAAGACCCTTTCCCAGTCTCAGGCTTTAATTCACCTGTTGGTAGGGCTGGGCAATAATATCGATATTTCAATATATTGCAATACAATGACAAAAAATATTGTATCGCAATACGATTTTGTAATATCGATATATTGGCAATATGCTTAGATTAAGGAATTTTGTCATTAAATATAAAAATGGACTAATGAAAGTTTGTTATTAAGCCAAACAGTAAGTCAGAAGTTGTTTTGTAGAAACATTTCAGAGCATAACTTAAATGATTTTTTTCCGTGTTGGTTACTTATCATAGTTATGTACATTCTGCATGTAAATTAAAGTAAATATAGTAAGAAAATTCCATTTTTATTACATTGAAAATATTGCAATACATATCGCAATACAGTTTAAAATATCGCAATATATCGCAATACGAAATCTCGGGCCAATACCCAGCCCTACCTGTTGGTTTAGTACCGAAAAAATTAAGATGAATCATTTAAGTTGATTCATCATTTATCTTAACCAGAAAACTTGAGTGCTAATTCCTTTATTGATCCATCTTTCTCCTCAGTCAATTACTTCTCATTAGATGATGCAGTTAGGTTACTAAGTTTGTTAGGTAAGGGGGCCTTGGATTGGAAAAAATGGACTTCAAGTCTGCATTTAGGTTGCTTCCTGTTCACCCGGCAGATCTTTGAGCTTTTAGGATTTAAATAAATATTTTGTGGTGTCTTGTAGTCTTTTTGAGGAATTTTTTTTGGTTTCCTGGTAGGGCAGGTAGGAATACACGTGATGAACTCATGTCATTCTTTGTGGGGCTATGCGAGCAGTTAGGTGTCCCCTCAATAGCTGATGATAAAACAGTGTGGCCTTCCACTCCCCTGACCTTTTTTGGGGTTTTGAGTTAGATTTGTTTGAAATGATGTTTAGAATCCCAGTTGATAAGTAGAATAGTTTAAAGGATTTGATCAACAGTTTTATGTAAAGAAAGAAGGCTACCCTAAAAGAATTTAAGGCTCTTGCAGGTTTGTTGAATTTTTTGTTTGCGTGCCATTCTGTTAGGCCGGGCATTCACTAGGCATAATTCATGACATCATGCAAGGGGTCTGTAAACCACATCACTTTATCAGGGTTTCTGTGGTGGTTTAGGAGGACTTGAAAGTGTGGCTTACTTTTTTAGATTTGTTCAATGGCTGCTGTTACTTTCCACAAATTGACTGTAGACAATGATCAACTCCAATTATTTACTTATTAGTTCATAGATTTCAGAATTAAGTTATGGCACTTTCTTCAAGAATCATTGGTTGTTTTTTAAGAGGCCAAGTGAATGGGTTGGTACTTAAGTAATCAGGGACATAACATTTTTTAGCTTGTTCCAGTTTAAACAATATACAGTTCAGGGCTTGTCTTATTATCTTGTGGGTCACATCCGATTTGGCATCCTGATGAGAAATAGGATAATAGATAATCTGTCATATTCTACGGTAAGAACATATCTGTCAGGTACAAGCTTTAAATGTCAACTTGATGGTACTTGAGACTTTGTTGTTGTGAAAAAGATGGTGGTAGGCATGTCATGACTGCAAAGTTCTGTAGATGCTAGATTGCCAATTATATCAAGAATTAGTTCGTTGGGGATCAAAACCTTACAAGAGATAAATAAGAATGCCAACCTCAAATTCATTGATGGCTAATTGTTTGTATTACTTCTTAAGCACCTCAAGCAGTATAGCTTGATAGGTTTTCTAATACCTTAATACTAAATCTTATTTTAAATATGATAATTTTTGTTTACAAATATTTCAGAGGGTGTAAGAATATGTACATATTTTTTGATCATCAATATTATGGCATGATTTTGGGATTTCAACAAATTGTGCTGCCATGATTACTTAGAATAGAAATTTCTGTGAAATTCTTAGAATAGAAATTTCTGTGAAATTCTTTCAAAATGCTACTCCTCCTACAGTTTTGGTCTTATTTCAAGATAACTTGGCACACAGGTGGACTATGCTAGGATACATGATTCTGTGCATCGGTTTTTATATTGATGAGTGGCAAGGATCATTTTTCTATTTATTGCTGTTTTAAAGTTTCAAGTATCAACTGCTACTTTTCTCTTCCTTTGTTTTAAGTATAAACCAGTAGAGCTACAGTCTCAACAGAGACTTCTGGTTTTGGTTATGCTAGAAAAAATGGGGGGGGGGTCCAATTTGGGTTATCCAGATTGAAAGCTAATATCTGGTGGCAGGGAAAAGGCGGCATGAAATGGTGACATCTCCTCCCAAAAATCAAATTAATGTTAAGGTATGAAGATACCCCACAATTATAATCTTGTTCTACATTGCAATGGCAAAGACATTGGTCAAATTACATTATGTGTTTTGCATTATAGCATAAATAATTCTTTTGACTCAATTTTAGTTCTGTTACCAAACAACAATTATTGAAAATTATTTGGTTTCAGATATTACCAAGATTAATTTGGCGTTATGCTAGGGACGACCATGCTCTTACTAAAGTCGGGTTTTGAGTTTATAGCTGTGTTGTTGGCCCATCAAGGGGGATATATTTGTTGCCCAGAGTTCACTTTGGTTGATCATACTCTACTTTAAGAGGAGGGGG